TGTTACTAATAAAGTCCAGTTGTTTTTGTATTGAACGCTTTTTGAATTCATCATGTCCTGGATGACTGAGAATCTTCACCAGCATATGATTTTATATATTTATTTTTCTAAAATTGTTGGCTCCAATAGTTGTTAGCAAAGTTTGAAAAACAGACCTTGTGTTACCAGATAGTGCCCAAAATATGTGTCTGGAATAACTCTCAACTACAAACACATTATGTTTTAGCTCAGTATATCTGAGTTATCCATCAAAGTTCAGTCAGGTCATCTGGATGGTTTCTTTTCTTTCTTTTTTTTTTGTTGAGACTTGTCATCCTTCATCCAAAGGATTTCATCAATCCGAGGAGCCACAAACAAATTGTGTCCCACAAGCAGCACACTCCCATAGTGGACCAACCAGTTTGCTTGTGATAAGATGGTTTCTGGGGCCCACCCTCTCCCCTGTTGACTCCTCTGAGGCAGACATTGCCAAAGTGATTCAAAACATCAAAGTTCATGCTAAATGCAGGTAAAAAAAAAAAAAAAAAAATCCAACAAAGTTCAGACAGGTCATATGGACGGTTTCTTTTGTTTTGCTGAGACATTTCATCCTTCATCCAAAGGACTTCTTCAGTCCGAGGAGGGCGGGCCCCAGAAATCATTTTATCACCAGCAATTTGGTTGGTCCATTATGGGAGTGTGCTGCTTGTGGGACTCAGTTTGTTTGTAGCTCCTCGGACTGATGAAGTATTTTGGATGACGGACAAAACATCTCACCAAAAAAGAAACCATCCAGATGACCTGACTGAACGTTGTTGGATTTTTTTACCTGGATTATTGAGCATGAACTTTGATATCTGAGTCATAGCCATTTTTGTGTTTGCTAAGTCACTTAGCTCTGGCAATCATCTTTAATGGCTTAACTCCAATATTTAATTCAAGGATTTTTTTTAATTGTCATACCAACTCGCATTTAGGGATGCACCGATCCACTTTTTCCACTTCCGATACGATACTCGAGGTTTATTATCAGACAATACCGATCCGATACAGATCTGATACAGAAAAACAGTGCTGAATTTTGTTCAACAAACTCAGTGTGCTCTTTGGGGTGAAATCTCTGGAGATGCTTGATCAAGTTGGTAGTGTTACAACCGCAAGATTTATTGACACCCCCTGAAACCGTTGCTGTGCACGTATTGCATGTAGCTATCGAATGTGTTGGCTGAGGTAGTGTGAAGTAGTTCCAGATGGCTGATCCTTTTGCTCGCCCCATTTTGAAAACAATCTGTGCGGTGAGTTCACTAGCACGTGACGTCACTCAGAGCACAAAGCATAGAATTAGAGTGAATAGATCTGCCCAGTCATGGATCGGTCACATTGTCACAATACCCGATCCAGAAGTTTTAACGATATCTGGGCCGATACCAATCGGTGCATCTCTACTCACATTTGCATGTTTGTGGTACGAAATTCGGACACAGGTCCCAGATCAAGAAGCCTAACAATTAACAAATAAATAGATACAACAGTGTGATTATTCTTGATGGTTTCATTAAAATTTGTCCACTGGTTTGGGAGATATTTTGCTAACACTACTGACAAACAAACATGTACACGCAGGCAAAGCACATTATTACTCTTTTGGCTTTCGAGGCAGGAGATAATGACTCCATCTTTGTCCTCATTATAAAGGGGATAATTGAAATGAAAAAGGAGGAGGAAAGATGTGAAACAACAAAAGCCAAAGGACAGAGCAGGTTGAAAAATGAGTCTTTAAATCACTTGAACCCCTTCTGTTGTCAGATTGTGTCGATGTATTAGTGTCCCTTGAGATCAGAGCTCAACCGCAGAAAGAAAGCATACATTTTGTGCAAACAAAAAGAACCTTTCAGACATGATGGTCCAAAACACACACTAATAAGATTAGCACTTCCATCACATCGACAATGTTAGTATAAGATAACAACTTTATGATTTTCTATGCATCATCTTGCTGCTTTCTCTTGTTTTTGCTCTTATCTGATTGCTGAGTCACCACTTGACTTACAGTGAGTGCCGCT